CACACCAGAAGTGACTTGCAGTTTATCAAGTTGCTCCTGACATGACAAAGAAAAAAAAAAGCTGATGGTCATAAACCCACTTTGGGAAGGTTGCCTTTTAATGTGAGTGTGCATTTGTACTACAATTTACAGCAGTTTGAAAACATGCAAATGTGAGTAGATGAATAGGTACCCTTATGCCGGAAAGGTAATGGCGTTCCATGCAGTCATGCCAGCCACCTGACCTTGGAGGTAGTGTCTATGGACAACGCTGGCTCTTCGTCTTAGAAATGGAGATGAACACACACACACCAGAGTTGGAAACAACTTGACTTAATGTCAAGGGGAAACGTTTGTCTTTTAATATCAACCTAGTATTCTGTTATTTGCTCTGTTTTTGTGTTCTATTTTCCTGGTGAATATAGTAGGATTGACTCTATGTCAGGGAAGAGGGAGAGGTTGGAGTTTCTTTGTGTTAACTATTAGATTTTCCATTTGTGTAGAGAGATCCTTTCTGTTGCAAACATTTCTTATTCCCAAAGTGCCTTAAAGTAAGGCAATACATCCAAAACTGACAAACAACTATTGTCCTCACATTGGGAAATTAAAAGAAAAGTGTGAGGTTGTGTCTTTGTCTTCAATTTAACTTCATGTTGTAAGTCATTAGAATGAAGAACTTCTTATAGAAAGCATATATTGTGGAGGTTTGCATTATTCCTAATCTGAGATGGAGAACTAGCTCAGTTTCTGGCAATAATACACTCACAATCTGTTTGCTAGGACAGATTTATGCTTTTTTTATTATTGATTAAGATGAGTTTTGCAATCTCTAATACTATCAGAATACCAATTGAATCTGCCTGATTTCTTTATTTCAAAACAGATACAATCTAAGAGTGAAGCAGACTTCAGTTTTTATCATAACAACAATATTAAACAACTTGTTTCACTCTCTATTAAGAAAAATGCTTCTATTTTCTTATAAGAAAATTTTTCATTTAAAGACTTCTAGTTTATAAAGTCAACATCAGTTATTTCTGAAACTTCATTAGGTTATTGTGTATATAATAAAACAGCAAAAGTAACCAAGCTACAAGAGTTCAATTATACCTTTAAAACATGGGCTATGAAGGTTGAGCATCCCTAATCCAGAATTCCAAAATCTTCCTGAATTGTCAACATAGGTTGCTGAGATGGTGGCACCTTTCCTTCATAATGGTTCAATGCACACAAACCTTTTTCATGCACAAATTTATTTAAAGTGTTATATAACATTATCTTCAAGCTATGGGTACAGAATCATAGAATCATAGAGTTGGAAGAGACCTCATGGGTCATCCAGTCCAATCCCCTGCTAAGAAGCAGGATAATCACATTCAAAACACTCTGACAGATGGCCACCCAGCCTCTGTTAAAAGCCTCCGTAGAAGGAGCCTCCACACACTCCGGGGCAGAGAGTTCCACTGCTGAAAAACTCTCAAAGTTAGGAAGTTCTTCATAATGTTCAGGTGGAATCTCCTTTCCTGTAGTTTGAAGCCATTGTTCCTCTTCCTAGTCTCCAGGGCAGCAGGAAACAAGCCTGCTCCCTCCTCCCTGTGATTTCCCCTGACATATTTATACATGGCTTTCATGTCTCCTCTCAGCTTTCTCTTCTGCAGTTTAAAGAGGCCCAATGCTTTAAGCTGCTCCTCATAGGGCTTGTTCCTCAAACCCTTGGTCATTTTAGTCACCTTTCTCTGGACACATTTCAGCTTGTCAACATCTCCCTTAAGTTGCATGACCAGAATTGGATACAGTATTCCAGGTGTGGTCTCACCAAGGCAAAATAGAGGGGTAGCATGATTTCCCTGGATCTAGAAACTATACTCTTATTCATGCAGGCCAAAATCCCATTGGCTTTTTAGGCGCCATGTCACAATGTTGGCTCATGTTTAATTTGTTGTCCACAAGGACTCCAAGATCTTTTTCACACATATTGCTAACAAGCCAAGCTGGACACTGGATGGTGCTGAACACAAACAAACTATATGTAAAACATAAATGAACTTTGTGTGTAGACTTGAGTCCTATCTCCAAGATATCTCATTATGGATACACACAAATATTCCAAAATCCGGAAAAAAATATCTCAAATCCAAAACACTTTTGGTCCCAAACATATTGTGTGGGGGATAATCTACCTGTGTCTAAAAACATATATTATTTCTGATTATGATTTTTAATTTTATAATGAGTAGCACAAAAAAACTCTCAACACATACAAATCCATAGTCATGCAATATTTGCCTTCAGAGTGACTAAAATATCACCAGTAAGGAATCTTTCAAATTATGTGGAATTATTATTGCAAATTTTGTTGCTTGCTATCCAAGTAGAATATATCAGGGGGTTTTTTTTTCAGAAAAAGTTCTAAGTGAAAATTCACCAAGATACTTGGTTAATTGATATTGGTCAACAAACTATTCTTGGCATTTTCTATAAAGCAAACACGGGCAGTATCTGTAAAAGTCATTCCAAACTATTTCAGTTCATTACCCTGTTGGCCTGTATACCAACAGATTGCTTTGAGGAGGGACAGAGGTCATTGGCTAATGCCAGTTAAGTTGATTGGGATAGAATTGCTCTTTTTCTCCCCTTTTCACAAAATCTGGTTTACTATATTTAACATCTGGGGTAACTTCCATCTTCACCTCCTGCACATTTGCATGGTGCATAGAACACCCCAATGACATGAAGTGAGGGAATCATTTCTTCCATTGCTTCAACTATAGGCAGTAACCTCTAGGGGAGAGCTGTCATCAGGCACATGGATATGATTTTTCGCTCCTCGTTTATAGGCTGATAAGGCTCTAGAAAATGCAATAATTCCTTCTTAACTTGATACAGGATTAATTTAATGCAGCTATTTTTGTCTGAACTGGAAAACATGTGGAACTGATCTTTCCTATGGCACTCTGGCTCTGCGAGAATTTGTTAGCTAAGGAAATGAACAGCATCAGATGGAAAAAAGTACCTCTCCTACATTTATGTCTGTGATTAAAATAAAATGACTAGTATGACTTGTTAATGAATATATATAAGATCATGAGCTATTTTTGTTATGCATCCTTGTTATTCTTCACACCAGATATTTGATAAATATGATTGAGGGTGAAAAAAATACACTGAGATTTTCTCACTCTTTTAAAATATAACAATAAATGTTGAATGCACTTTCCTTAGCAATATAGAGTTTCAGTTTCTGTGGCTGACTCAGTATTGATCATGAAAAAAATGTAGTTTCCAAGCCACTAACATTCAACAGAAATCTTGATTTGCTTTCAAAAGTATTTCTGGAGAATATCGACTTGACCCAACCATAAGAGGTAATACATTTATGAAAGTACAAATGAAATATGAGATAGCAAATGACAATCGTTCCCTATGAGTGCACTCAAGGTGTTGTACTACAACTCCCAACATTCACAGACTGTTATAATGGTGGCTGATGACAACAGAGGTTGCTAGCATCCAGTTGGAGAAGAGCAGAATAGAGAGATGGACAAAAGACTTTTTGGAAACTTCAACTTGTCCAACGGGTGGCAGCTAGATTGCTCACTGGAGCGGCGTACAGGGAACATACCACCCCCCTGTTACATCAGTTCCAATTCCGAGCACAATTCAAAGTACTTGCTTTAGTCTATAAAGCCCTATATGGTTCTGGCCCGGCTTACTTGTCCGAATGCATCTTCCTCTATGATCCACCTCAGGATTTAAGATAGTCTGGAGAGGCCCTGCTCTCAGTTCCATCTTCTTTGCAAACACGGTTGGTAGGAATGAGAGACAGGGCCTTCTCAGTGGTGGCCTCCCATCTGTGGAACTCACTCCCCAGTGAAATAAGGTCTCTCCTTTCCTTCAGGAAAAAGCTCAAATTGTGGTTTTGGGACCAGGCTTTTGGACAACAAGCTTTTAGCAGCAGTCACAACAGATAATGGACAGGCTTTGGATTAAGCCCCTGAATGTTTAATCAAACTTGGATGCAATAATGTTTTAACTGCCTATTTATATTTAATGTGTTAATCAATGTTTTAATTGTGTTTTATTGCTATGTTGTTTGTTGGCATCGAATCGATGCCAGTGTAAGTCACCCTGAGTCCCCCCTCGGGGGGTTGAGAAGGGCAGGTTACAAATGTTTGAAATAAATAAATAGAAATACATTTTTTCTAGTTTCTTATATTGTTTCCATATTTTTAGAAAAATCAACACCCACCGAGGAGGTTGTGAATTTCTAACAGAAGAATGACATATGTGGAGGGTGTTTCTTGATAAGTCTAATCATTTGTTTTCTCCAATTCCCCCCCGTCCTTCTATCTCTTATCTGCTTTTTGAAAGTCTGACTGAAAATTGCTGTGGAATTGCATTTACTCTGCATAACCGAGATGAAAAAAGTCAAAATGAAACAGAAACTCACAACTCACTTTTTATACTTTTATTCCCCACCTTTCTTCTGTTATAAAACCTAAAATGATATATGTAGGAAAACATTCCTCAACCTAGTTGGGGAAGGTGGGTGTTATAATTAAACATCAATAGAGAACTCCTGATTGGCAAAGACAGTTTACAGATTGCCAACACATTTTGTGACTAATTCAGGGCAGATAGTAATCTGTGGTTTATACAGTGCATCAGTTAATGGTAATTGGTAATTAATGAATAACCTATGGGTATAAGATGCAATACAATTCTGGAACGCATTCTAGACATGCCTGAGAATGCTTATAATACTGCAGCCATCCTGGTGCATCGCTTTGAATCCTCAGAAATCTTCTGAGCAGTCTTGCATACAGGCAGCGTGAAATGCATTTTGTTGATAAGCATGAGAATCTATTTCTATAAGTATTTGGTCTGATATAACTTATGAATATGTGCTAAAATCCAAAGAGCTTTGCATACTCTACTGGCAAGTCTATATTTAATAGCAGCTTCCTAAAATCCCATAGCAGAGGAAATAGGATAAAACTGTTTCTTTTTTTGCTTCCTAGGTCCTGTTTTTAACGTGTCGGTGCATTCGGATAGGACAACCGTTTATCGAGGCGAGCTGGTGAATTTGTTTTGCATCATCACTATTGAAGGGGCAGTTCTTGATCTAGGTATGGATTGACTATGTATTGGAGGATAATTGCTTTCCTTTTCTCTCTTTCTCCCTGCTTAATCTTGCTAGCAGCTCAAGGAGTCATATGTCTTCATACATTTCTTAGAATAAAGACATTCCACACCAGTGGAAAACTGTGAAGACCAGTCCTTTTAATCTCTCTTTGTTTGTGTCTTGCTAGCTTCACCCCAATCAAATTTCTCATACATTGAGCTGGATAATACTTAGCAGCTGCTTGTACAAGCCTCTGCGCTGATTGGTAGAGTGCTGGTTTCATTGACAAACCAAGGAGCTCTGGATCTGACTTTTCTGTGAAAGGATGCTTTGAATTCCTGGAACCCTAGTTGTTCTGAAGTCAGCTTGTGAATCCAAAGTAGACCAATCTGAAAATAATTAAAAACACACACACTTCAGCACTTCGTTGCAATTCAACAGTTAGTAATCCCTAGTTATGCGTGTCATCCCTACAAGTTAAATTAGTCTTAATCAGTTGTCAAAACAGAGTGAAAGCCGCAGGCAGAAATTTTATATTTCCAAATTCAGGATGGTTTGGAGAAGACACAGGGCTTTGGAAACTGATATTTGTTGCTATTTTTCAAACTTGCTTGCAGTGATTGTTGTTCAAGTCATTTCCAACTTATAGTGACCCAAAGCTTATGAAGTTTTTGATTTTTCATCTTCTGATTCTTCTGACTCAATAGAATTACAAGCTGCGTAGATGTGGGGAATGCCGTGGATGTAGCGTACCTGGATTTCAGTAAGGCCTTTGACAAGGTCCCTCATGACCTTCTAGCAAACAAACTAGTCCAATGTGGGCTAGGCAAAACTACAGTTAGGTCTGTAATTGGTTAAATGGATGAACCCAGAGGGTGCTCACCAATGCTTCCTCTTCATCCTGGAAAGAAGTGACGAGCGGAGTGCCGCAGGGTTCCGTCCTGGGCCCGGTCCTGTTCAACATCTTTATTAATGACTTAGATGAAGGGTTAGAAGGCATGATCATCAAGTTTGCAGATGACACCAAATTGGGAGGGATAGCCAATACTCCAGAGGACAGGAGCAGAATTCAAAACGATCTTGACAGATTAGAGAGATGGGCCAAAACTAACAAAATGAAGTTCAACAGGGACAAGATGCAAGATACTCCACTTACTCAGGAAAAACGAAATGCAAAGATACAGAATGGGGGACGATGCCTGGCTCGAGAGCAGTACGTGTGAAAAAGATCTTGGAGTCCTCATGGACAACAAGTTAAACATGAGCCAACAATGTGATGGGGCGGCAAAAAAAGCCAATGGGATTTTGGCCTGCATCAGTAGGATAGTGTCTAGATCTAGGGAAGTCATGCTACCCCTCTATTCCGCTTTGGGTAGACCACACCTGGAATATTGTGTCCAATTCTGGGCACCACAATTCAAGAGAGATATTGACAAGCTGGAATGTGTCCAGAGGAGGGCGACTAAAATGATCAAGGGTCTGGAGAACAAGCCCTATGAGGAGTGGCTTAAGGAGCTGGGCATGTTTAGCTTGAAGAAGAGAAGGCTGAGAGGAGCTATGATAGTCATGTATAAATATGTGAGAGGAAGTCACAGGGAAGAGGGAGCAAGCTTGTTTTCTGCTTCCCTGGAGACTAGGATGCGGAACAATGGCTTCAAACTACAAGAAAGGAGATTCCATCTGAACATGAGGAAGAACTTCCTGACTGTGAGAGCCGTTCAGCAGTGGAACTCTCTGCCCCGGAGTGTGTGGAGGCTCCTTCTTTGGAGGTTTTTAAACAGAGGCTAGATGGCCATCTGTCAGGGGTGCTTTGAATGCAATATTCCTGCTTCTTGGCATGGTTGGACTGGATGGCCCATGAGGTCTCTTCCAACTCTATGATTCTAAGATTCTGAGCACTGATGATCTCTAATTAATAGCTGTTGTCTTTTTAGATATGATCAGAGATTGACAACGGAATGGAACTATGGTGAATTTTAGGCCTTGAACATCTAGTCTAGGCAAAACCATACGCCAGTCCATGTAATAAGTAATATGGATTTTCCATGTGCAATATAAAATATTTCTGTTTTGGACGTCCAAAATATGCTATTGGAAGACTTTCATGATTACTCAATACATTTCAGAGAATTCTTAGTTGAGGAAGCTGCTTGATTGTTGTGAATGTTCAGCACACAAATTAGGATTTGGCCATTTGCAATGAGTTTTGTAGGTCACCTATAAATAAATTTTGAAATCTGTGCTGTCGAAGGCTTTCATGGCCAGAATCACTGGGTTGCTGTGAGTTTTCTGGGCTGTATGGTCATGTTCCCTCAGCATTCTCTCCTGACATTTTACCCAAATCTGTGGCAGGCACCCTCAGAGATTGTGAGATCTGTTGGAAACTAGGACAAGTGAGGTTTATATATCTGTGGAATGTCCATGGTGGGAGAAAGAACTCTTGTCTGTGTGAGGCAGGTATGAATTGCAAAAAACTTAAGATTAAAACATTCACCTATGACTTTCGGATGAATTATGTAAGTCTCGTAAATGGCTCCAGGTCTCTATTACGGGTGCAGCTTCTTCACCAAGAAGGCTAGGTTTTGTTTCCCCTAATACATAACAAAAAAGTAATAAAAAAATGTTACTTCATTGTAAGTATGGTACAGACCCCTAATGTGTTTCTAAAGAAACACTTTAGAAACACCCCCTCTCCCAATTTAGTAATGGGTATTGAAACATGTTTTCCATTGATCACATAGGCTCGTTGGCTACACATTTCTGCTCAGGTTTCTGGCTTAAGATACCCAGAGGAGAACAAGAAAAAACAACTGCCATCTTTGTTTTTACTTGAAAAGTGGCTCCTGCACTGTGCTTTCTTCTTTTTACTTGCCCCTTGCTTTCAGGCCTTGCTTTGTCCCTATTTTATTTATTTGCAGCATTTATATTCTGCCCTTCTCACCTCGCAGGGGACTCAGGGTGGATTACAGTGTACACATATATGGCAAACATTCAATGCCAATTTTGACTTACAACATATACAGACATACACAGAGGCTATTTAACTTTTTCTGGCCGCCAGGGGAGCTGTCGCTTTCGTCGTCCATCTGCGACACTGATGAAGTACTTCTTCATTCCCCACATGCTTTTTCGCTGGAGTGCTTTGCGGGAGTCTTTTTTATGGCCTCATAAATTAGTTAATTTAGCCTCCCCACACTTTAAGGTGGTACCTAATTTTCCTACTTGACAGATGCAACTGTCTTCAGGTTGCAAAGGTCGACAACAGGCTACACAATTGGTTGGAAACCCACTCCAACTCGGGCTGGCTTTGAACTCATGACCTTTTGGTCAGAGTTATCTTAATGCAGCTGACACTCAGCCAGCTGCGCCACAATCCCGGTGCTAGTCAATGTGATTACAATCAACTCCTTTGAGATGGGATATTTTGACCATGCCTGGTTCCTGCCGTCTTGAAATACACATTTTCTTGCTCTTTCTTCATAGTGTCAGCTGTGCTCTAAATAATTTCCTTAATTGGTACAAAGAGCTTAAGTCAGAGTATTTACCAAGGCTGGGTGCAGGGATGAAGTTCTGCTCTGCTGCTTATGAACTATAAACCAACCTACAATTTAGGTTGAGATTACCTGACAAGCCATATTTATTGGGATCCTGTAATCTACAGGAGAGGTTCTTCTCTCCATCCCACCACCTTCTCTGATTTGGCTGATAGAAATACAAGGAAGGACCTTCTTGGTAGTTCCTTCTAAACTAGCAGTTCTCAACCTGTGGTTCCCCAGATGTTTTGGCCTTTAACTCCCAGAAATGCTAACAGATGATAAACTGGCTGGGATTTCTCAAAGTTGTAGGCCAAAACACCTGGAGACCAACATGTTGAGAACCACTGCCCTAAACCTTTGGAACACCTTATTATGAGAGCAGGAAGATTTGTTTTTATTCAGACAGGCTCTTGGAAGTGAAGTCTTTAAAGGAGAGGACTTGCAGAAGGAGGCTGTCTTGTTTTAAATTGTGCAAATTTAACTGTTTTTTATCTTTTTATCATTATTTTAATATTATTACTGTTTTAATTTTACATTAATGTTGTATATTTTGACTATATTGTAATTATCTTAATTTATGAGATAACTTGAGTCCTAATCTTGAGGAAAAGGCAGGTTATGAATAAAATTAATGTTAACAATTAAAAAACAGATTGATTGCATTATGGATTTTTTTTCATATAAAAGGGAAGCATTATATTGGCCATAAAAAATTTTCCAGAAGGTTTTGTAATGCATGTCTTTATTTTCCAGCAAAGGCACAAACATTCATATGGGCTTCCTTTGCAATAAATTGATCTTGCTAATCAGGGATTGGATTGGCACTGTTCATACTTGCATTTTTAGCTTATGTGGTGACTCAATATTCATTTGGTAAAATCCCTATAAATTTGACAGAGAAGATATGCTTTCAAGTGACCTTTTGTGTAGGACTGCATACACAAGGGCCAAGAGCTCATGCCACTTTTGTACTAGCGTTCTGGGGCTTACCAAATCAGATGGTTGTTTTGTTTTGTTTTTCCTTGATTTACAGTCTGTGAAAGTTCTGCATATCCTTGCTTAAATTGTGTTAAAAACAAATGGCCTCAACGCTGTGAATCAGCCATGCTAAAGGAGCTTTTTTCTGTCAAGTAGAAGTACATGGTGTGAAGCAGATGGGCTGGGAATGGGACTAAGAATTGTGAAGGCTGATTGACCAGGGGAAGTAGCTCAGCAGCTTAGGCTGGCATGTCAAATCAAAATGTGCATAAATACTCGTATGTGCTTTAAATGTTGATCACTTCTAGTTTCCCTCAAGGAGGGAGGTGTTCTACTACCACAGTTTGCCCCTATGTATATGATTTTAAGGCTTAATTTATCATGGTTCCACATGGCACTTCTCCTGCCCTACAATAGCACATTAGTAAGAGCTGCTCCAGAGTGTGACAGATACTGTAGCATGTCTTAGAATAGCAAATGCCTCCAGCCA